GGGTGACACCGGAAAACTCTACCCTCTCACTCCCAAGCGCACACCAGAAGGAAGAGCAACAGAGAGGGGCACAATACAAGGATGGATTTTTCAGACGCGGTCCTCGGGGAGAGAGAGAGAGAGGGAGGGGGGTGCGAAGTAAACTCCAGTTGTCAGTGGAATACCGCTGCCGAGAGTGGCCGCTGCAGAAGAGCATGCAGAGCAGAGGGGAGCCCCAAAGGTACCGCAGATGCGTGTGTCACAAGAGGTGCGTGGAGCGCGCGCGTTCCGCCCACAGAACGGCAGCGGGGGGATCGTTCGTCCGCGTTATATGAGGTAATCCGAAACCACCCACCCCAACAGCAGCCCACCCTTTTCCCTTTTTGCCGCCGCCGGGGGGGGGGGGGCGACACGCGGCAAACGACACAAAAAGATCAAGCTCTACCTCGCCGGTCTGCGCGGTCCCGGCCTTCTGCATACGGATCAGGATGGCCTCCTCGTGCGTCTCCTGCGTGTGGTACACCGAGTGCACGAACGAGTAGTTGACGCCCGGCTTGTGTCCGCCTCCGCCGCCGCCACCGCCGCAGTCGCCGCGGGGGGTGGAGCCGCCCGAGCCCGTCCCGCTCAGCGACGAGCCGTCCTCGTCGTCGGGGTCCGGGATGGTGTCGCTCGCGTCCAGGTACGGCAGGTTCTCGTCGCTGCTGCAGGGCCGCAGGATAGCGTTGAATGAAAAATATGGAAAGTGACTACTAATGTTGCGGCAAATGTTGAAGTTCACCACGACTCGCTCTCACTGCCCTCCTCGGGAGGAGGCTACCTCGGGGAGTTCTCCTCCGGGTCTTCCGCGGCGCCGCCCCCTGCCCCGGCCGCCGAGCCCGGACCAACGCTGTCCCCGGCCGCGCAGGGGCACTGGCATGGCCTCCGGGGCGGCAGCGTGCCCGGGGGCTGCCCGCCCAGGGCGACGGACGCCAGCTCCTGCTTCATCAACATGAAGGTGGCCTCGGACCGCGACCAGGGCTCGGCGCCCGGCGGAGGCAAAGGCAGCTCGCTGACGCTACAGGCGGGCGGCAGGGACAGCGGCGGCGGCGGCCGGAGGGACCCCGCCGAGGACGCGGCCGACTCCTGGAGCTGGAGCGTCGACGCGATCCTGGAGAAGGTCTGCAGGCTGAGGGGCTGGTTGGACAGGCCCAGCGTCGAGCGCTCGAGGGAGGTCTTGATGTCCTCGAAGCGCGACGGCAGCGCTGGCGCGTGGAGGCGGGGGCTGGGGGCGGCCTCGACCAGGGCGACGCAGGGCGGGGGGCGCTGCGGACCGATGAACTTGTCTGGGTACTGGGTGAACGTGTTTGCGCGACTGCTCCGAATGGAACCGGGTCGGCCAAAACGGAATCATTGGCTTCCTTCATGATCTCAACATGACATAAGTTACGAAATTAGTTTCTCGTACCAATACTCTCGAATATGTCTTTATTTCGACGTAGTGTATAATCATGTTCCGCCCGACGCGGGGCTCGACTCACGGCCTGGGGGGCTGCCAGGTGCGGACAGCAGCCCGCCACCTGGAGCTGGCCCGGCTCCGCCTCGTGCCGGGTGGCCCCCTGCATCGTCACGTACGCCCCCGCGCCACCTGGGGAGCGGCGCCGACACCAGGGCCATCAGGGACGTGCTGTCAGCCTCAGCACCCTCTCTCTTTCCCTGTCTCACACCCATCTATCTATCCATCCCCCCCTAGGCCTGAGTAGCGTACCGCCGCCGCCGTCGAAGGTGCGTCGCGGAGACGGCTGGTCGTCGCCCACCTTGTCCTCGCTCATCCCGGGCATACCCTGCCCCGGCCCATTCCGACGACGTGACGCCCTGTCAGAGTCCCCCGGAACGCCCGGAACGTCCGGAAAGCCCGGAACGCCCTTGGGAGGAGGAACACCTTGCCACCGCGCCCCGCCACGTCCCCGTCAGCCTGTTGCGTGTGCTCATGGCGACACTGTGTGGCAGTGTGGCTGGTGTGGTTCCATTGTTGAACAGAGCTGCCAACCCACTGCAGAAAATAGGGTGCAATAACGGACGGCAAAATGAGGTCGGCGAAAGGGACTTTGCCAGCGCAGCGCGGGGAGCACAGAGCTCGCCAGCCGCTAGCCGTTGGCAGCACTGCACCATCGGAACAGCGTCAGTGCGGCAAACTGCGGAATAATACGTCAGGCGGGAAATCTTACTCCAGTTCTGCCAACTTACCCCAACCTTAATCACCCCATTACTCTCGCGTTTGCCCTCTCGTGCCTATACCGCACCGCAACTTCTCTCTTTCCACCGTCCGGAATATTAAGTTGGCACCAGGCTGCGCGGCTGCGACGACGAGGCAAATTAACGGAACTGCGCTCTCTCTCTGTTTCCAGATGCCGAAGGCTGATGCGACACTGTGGGAGAGCCCTCACTTGAGCGCCAGGTAGTCAGCGAAGGTAAGTGCTGGATAATACGTTCAAAAATTGCGTATGCCGCCAATTTATTAGAGCGAAGCAAAGTCAAATAAATGGAAAAACGATTAGATGTCGGTCAAAGCGATCGTCCAGAAATTACGTCCGCCTTTCTCAGATTCGTTCAGCAACTTAAAAGAGCTCGGCGCCTACGAAAATCGGGGTAGGCCACCCCGCAGTGCACGCGTGCACTGCATGCAGGATGTTGCCTATCGATCAGGCGCTATGAGAGCTTCTATTGGCTGGACCGGGCAGTTTTGTAACGGAAAACGGCGGGCGCGTCCTTTCTGGATGCTTCCAACGTCGAAATGACGTCTGATTGGATTGCAATGCAATTTCATCGTTCCACAGAGTCGTAGCAGTGCAGTTTTGTTTCTGTTGGCAGCGAGGGGACACGATGGCCACCGCCCGGGCCCCCGCGCCGCCCGCCGCGCCCACCCCGCCGACCCCGGCAGGGGCGCCGCAGGCCGCGCCACACAACAAGAGGCCCACCATCATCATCTACCCCACAGGTAAGGGGGGAGATAGTTGGGTGCAGGTGTGCACGAGAGTCCCTCCCAGCAGCACTCAAACCTCGGCGCCGAGCTGACCAAGCGCCCCATTATGGTCCTCTGAATGCCTTCCTCGCCCCGCCCCGCCCCGACCCCCTCCCGCCACGCAGTCTGTGGCGCACTTCTCTATCCCTCCGGGCGTTTTGGCGCCATTACACGGTCTTTGGCGCCCTGGAGTTGCGTCCGAAAACACGTCTCTCTCTCTCTCCCTCTCTCTCTCTCTCACCCCACCCCTCCTCTTTCACTCTCCCCGCCCGGGCGTGCGACGAGGATGGCGCGTTATAAATCGGGCTGCAGGCGCGCCGGCGCAAAATGCCGCAATTAAAGAAAAGGGTCAAGGGGGTTCCGGCTCCGCGCCCGCCCGCCCGGAATATCTCCAGCAGCGGGGAGCGAGCGAGGAAGAGAGCGAGACAGACGGACAAGCGACTATGATTCTCGCCGGGCTCTCTCTCTCTCTCTCTCTCTCTCTCTCTCTCTCTCTCTCTCTCTCTCTCTCTCTCTCTCTCTCTCTCTCTCTCTCTCTCTCTCTCTCTCTCTT